TGCATTTATAGTAAAATAGTGATTGATCAACCCTAGATCGTTCAAACCCCGTTTATTCGAAAACGCTATTATTGTTAGCAGAGAGAAGCCTGAGAGGGGCCATGCCCAAGATCTATAGAGAGAAGGTTACCTCATGCGCAAAGAGGGACGAGCGGCAAGAGGGGCAATGATGATCTCATCGGCAAACAGAAGCTATCTCAGACAGCTACTGTTTGTCGATGAGATCATCATGCTCTCCCCTTCCTTCATCGCCCCTCGCCATCAAGCTGTTTCTAGCTCCCCCCTTACTTCATCGTCTCTCGCCAACAACCGGTTTTTCTGAGGTAACCTTCTCTCTATAGATCTTGTTCCCCCGGTATAGTTTGTGCTCCGTCCCTCTATTCCTTAGTCCGTGGTTGTATCGTAGTGTAAAATTTTTCGGTGGTCGTCCGACAGGCGGCACCAGCAAGGCCGCCAGCGATATATAGGCCGGTATTCATAGTCCGTTCTTATATTCAACATCGTCTTAAGTACAAACTTATATTCGCTCTCTTCGTCAGACACAATCTATGTGTGACGAAGAGAGCGAATATAAGTCCGTGCTTAAGACGATTTTGAATATAAGGACGGACTATGAATACCGCCCATTGAAGTGCGATACATCAACACTCGGGCTGCAGTCTCGATCGAAGTAATAAGTCGATGCTTCCGTACGAAACCGGATGCGACGAACAATCCAAAACATCCTCGAACATTCGGGACCGGCTTCTTTATGCGGAGCCAAATGTTAAGGAGCATTCTGTTCGGAGCCGGCATTAGGGTCAGTCGAGAATTAGAGTCGTCGTAGAATTAGATCTAGTCTCGCGAGCGATTAACCAGTATTAAGTGTATTTTGCAAATTGCAATAAAGACCATCATTTATATTGTTAAACCAGTGATATATTCGAACTCCTGATCTACATTATAGTACAGTCGGTGTTAATCCAATCGGAGCACGTGGATTTAATTAAAACGGTTAACGAATATTTTGATACAGTGCACGCGGTGCTCTGACCGTTACAATTATATTAGGAACTAGACGGATATTTGTCCAGTCGTCGAGTCGTTTAATTGGAGAACATTTAGTAGCCACCATATCGTTAACACGTGTAACCTTAAGCTGAAGATATTACACTTTAAAAATAAAAAAGTATAACGTTCAGTAAAGTAAACATACCGGTTATAATATCTATATTCTCACGTGGTAACGTTCAATTAGGAAGACAAAAATGTCTGTTTCGTATAATTTGCCAAACGAGATATTAGAAAAAATTTTCAATTTCTGTGATGTTTATACTTTATCACAGATTAGTATGGTATGCATACAATTTAATAATGTGGCAAAATATATACTAATAAAAAAAAGTGAACATTTGCTTGTCACGAATCAGAAATCGGAAAAATTTTGTGAACGGTAAGTTAAATAAAGCTTACTCTTTATTTATATTTTGATTTATTCTAGAACAGTGCTTGGAAATAGTCGAGCATTTCAGCCGATTTCCGTAGCCGACGTCTTCTTTCCTCTCCTCATCGGGCGCGCCAAAGTTGCTCGGACCAGCGAGTGTTAGAAGCGACACTATTAATTTATGAGTGGAATGTTCTCTCTTTATTATTAAAATTTATTAAAATTTATAAAAAATATTTTTCTATTTTCAAATTTATTATGTTGAAATATTTCAATAGATTTTCACGTCACCAATAAAGTACTATTGCTAACGCGTTTTTTTTTCTCTTGTTTTTTTTTTTTATTTTTTTAGTTCATTGGTCGTTATTCAGAGTTCGTTCTTATCTCTAAAATTCTCTTAAGTATGATCCTAAAATGCTATGAAGCAATCAGAAAGCCATATTAATATCTTAAGACAGTACTTAAGATAATTCTGGAATAAGAACGGACTATGAATACCGCCCATAAAAGGCCATTTTATCTTATAAAAAACCAAAAAAATTTAATCTTTTTTATATGGCTTTTTATATGGCTTTTGGCTTCTATTTTTCGTAAATTTCATTTTTTTTGGCTGCGTGGCTTGAAAAATTTTTTCAAATCGACCGTCTGTAGTGTATTAGCTTATGTACTTTAATTACAGAAAAAGAGTTTTTATTCTACACGGTCAAAAAAGGTATAGTGTATTTGAAAGAAATTGGTAAAACAGACCACTTTAGAATTATCTTAAGTTACAACTTTTTATCTTATTTTTAGCAAAACTTGATTTAGTTTTTAATTATATCTTTTTAAAATAAATTTCAATATTTATATATTTTCAGAAGATAGATGTTCATGATTTTACATAAGATCACATTGAAGAACACATGTCTTATTTTTTTTACAGATGTAAACCACTATTATCTTCAGATATAAATTCTAAATTTATTACAAGTTACAACTGGATACATAAAAATGTAAAAGGAGACGAATATATAAAATGGAGGAAATAAATATAGAGCAAGAACATTCCTATTTGTATAGATTTCAGTTCAAAAATCGAAGCGTACAAATGACTAGAAATATGGTTTGGTCATTTTGTGAGGGTGATCTTCTTGCTTTTAAACGCGCAAAGAACGGTACAATTAAAAAGGGTAAAAATATTTTGAAAACTGACAAGGCTTTTATTGAAACTTATACTCATTGCGGTAATTATATTATAAGTGGCGACAGGTAAGTATTTATTTATGAACTGTGTTTTATGTTTATTTCTTTTTTTTTTTTTGACAAAATTTCTTGCAGAGAAGGTATTATTAACCGCTGGGAAATTAAAGATAATCAAAAGGATTTTTTACGTAAACCTTTAAAAATACATAATGTGCATTTTAAAATTCAACGAATAAACGCAACATCGCAACACATTATAACTGGTTCTAAAAATTTATTAAAGGCAAGATTAAAGAAAAATTGCAATAATGCTATGTTAATGTAGTATAGTAAAAGTTTGTTTTTGTAGATACTGAAATATTCAGATGATAGAAAAGGTTGTACGGAAGAAAACAAAATATTTTGTGGCAACAGATGTTATATTGAATCAATCTCATTGGACCCTAAAGGAACAAAATTTGCGGTTATTTCCAATGATTGCTCAGACTTTTCTCCTAAGTCGTCGTTTCTAATTTACGATTTTGATAAAAGGTAAGTTATGTTTCAATTAATTAATCGGTTTCTACAAATGTTCGATTGAACATTGACTACATTTACACGTCAATCTCAATTGGGTATAGTAATATCCATAGTTATGAAACCCGATTGACGTTGCCGTGTAAACGTACTCATGGACTATATTTATACAGATACTATTATATGATCCGATTTAATAACATTTCTAATTATAACTTACAAAAACGATTTAATAACCCAAAAATTCTAAAAAATATAAAACTGCAAAAATACAATATATATAAACCTAACCAAAGTACGTATGTTTTATGTTTCTTTTATGTTTGGAATATACAACAAACTAATGTAAAGGAATTTTAGTAATCAGATAATAAATATAAAATATGATGATCCTTGTCAGCAACTAATATGGGAGGATACTCACACTATTCTCATGCGTTTTTATTATTCTATTAAAAAAATGGATTTGAGGTAATAAATCTTATTGTTAATATCAATTAGCCATTCAATTTGTTTATATTTATTACTGTGATTTCAGAACATCCGAATTTGTACGTACATGGGATTCTTCCAAATATCGCCCATCACGCTGTTGCTCATCAGATAATATAAACACTTTTATGACAGGGCATTATATGGTTGTTATGTGGGATCAGAGACAAAGTGTTGCCATTCAAGTTTGTATTATTTTCAAATTTTTCGTATCTTGTACTTTAGTGAATTAGTGAATTAGTGAATTATTATTAACTCTCTTGAAAATTTTTAGACGTATGATATAAATGGCTCAATATATGCTTTAGAATTTGATAGTTCCCATATGTATGCTGTTGCCGGAAATGGTCTTTATGAATTGGACTTTACGAGAAAAAACTACTTTAATCATAAAAAAATAAAAACGTTTTTTGGCAATTTTTATTAAATAAAAAATGTGTGAAAATTCTTTTTATTATATTTTGATTATTTACATAAATTCAATGAACTCTATACAATCTGGAAAACGCCGTGCTGCTCAACATGCGATCATACAAAGAGAGCATTTGGATTATTTCATTTTTTTCTGTTGTAGACTCTCTTCATTAAAGTCTATTCATGTATATATTCATATGTATACTCTACACATATGTATATAAAAAATGGAGGTTTTAATAAGCTTACGAAGAAATGAATCAAAACAATCCCACTACCTCTCTTTGTCTAACCACTCGTTTATATTGTTCGTATGATGACTCCCAAGATCTATAGAGAGAAGGTTACTTCAATAAAACCGGTTGTTGACGAAGGACGATGAAGGAAGGAATGAGCTTGAAACAGCTTGTGGCGTGAGGCGATGAAGTAAGGGGGGAGCTAGAAACAGCTTGACGGCGAGGGGCGATGAAGGAAGGGGAGAGCATGATGATCTCATCGACAAACAGTGGCTTAGTTTACACCGATTGTTTAGTACACGTATCAAATACTAAATCAGCTTTTTTGATTGGTGTAGATTTTACACTAAACGATTTATACCTATCGGAGAAGCAGATTTAGTATTTGATACGCGTACTAAACAATCGGTGTAAACTAGAGTCCCTATATATAGAGTCTGGCCACGCTTGTGTTTATTTTTATTGGTCGAAACAAAGTTTGGAAAAACATGGCGGAACCAATAAGAATTCTTATAGAAAGTATAATAATTTGAAAAGAAATAGAAG